GTCTGGAACAGAAAATGAACGAGGCTTTACTCTGAGATGACAAAGCTGAACTATGTATTTTCCAGCAACAAAAAGTGAGCAGTCGAGTACTTTCATTTAAATATATCACTAATGTGCTACCCTGGTAAATTCTAGTATTATTCTGATTGTTATTGGTCATTATGAGCCATGGATGCCAGGGTCAATGTTATGTCCCAACCCAGATCTGTAATACATCAAAACTAGGTGTTTCAGTTCTGTCTATGCAAAAATATATAAATAAATAAAGAATGTTCAATGACTAGTTCACAGACTGGCCAATCCCCACTGCTTTGTTTTCCTGGGGAGTCAAGAGCAGCAAGGACCGTGAGAGGGTCTTAACCAGGAACAGCATCAATAATAAGGTTACACTTTGTTTCTGTGATTGTGTAAACGAGAAACTTTATCATTTCCCGTTGATGTGTTTTTCTGTGTGCGTCTGGAAAAACACAAAGTGTGTGTACACTAGAGGGAGGGCTTTCAGGGGTCAGTGTTGTTGTTGTGCTAACACAATTTAGTCCTAATTAGCAGGCTGCCTCTAAGCCTCAAGTGTCCTCTCTCAACACACAACATTTCCTAACAATCAATTTCCGTGAAAACAACAATTAGGCCGCAAACCACAACGCCATGACCCAAAGTATTTTCTGCTGTTGTGCCTTTTGGGTTATTTTTTTCCTGTTTATTGTTTTCATGAACATGAAATTTCAGGACAGGACTTGGATCCCAGAAGACGAATAGGCAAAAGTGATGAGTTGTCTTGTATCTTGTCTCAAAGAAGCTTTTCTGGACTTATATAGAAACCCTGAGAGAAGGATAGACTGACAGGAACTGCTCCACTGAGACTCCCTCAGACAGGACGTGCGTGTGTGTATGTGTGTGTGTAAGAGAGACTTTCCATACCCTTATATGTGAGCAATGGAGGGTCCCGAGTTCCTGTGTGACACATGGCTTGCTGTATTTGTAAGAAAATCAATGCAGATGAAAAAAGTGATATTCATATTTAAATTTGTCCTGGTGAAATGTTAAATTTGCTGTTCATAAAGATTCGGTGTTATTCTGTAATAAATAATGTAATTTTTTCAAAAAAAATAAAAGCACAAAGCATCTCTGGCTTTACAACAGAGCTAACTGTTCCAACGAATCGACTTGTCTGAAGGTAAGAAAGCACTTGGAAAACATCAAAACTGAGCGCAATTTACTCAACGCAGAGAAATATGGGATCACAGAGTCTGAGGGTAAAACTGGTTTGCAAATGCAGCTAATGTCAGCAGAGCTCGCACGACCAATGACCACTCCTCCTTGCATTTTTAAGTGAACATGCCCAGTTACTGGTATAATGGTAACAGCATGCCATTTTTAACCAGTCAGCTAGCAAGACTTAGTGACTCAGTTCTGAATGATGACTGATACGCCACATGAAGCTGGAACTTGGAGCTAGGCAATTATTAGTGCATTGCTTAGACTTCATGCTACTTCAATATTGAGGCTGTCTGAGCATTCACAGGGAATGTCATCAGGTAGATCAATCACGACTATAACGCTCTCGGTGAAGCACTCCTCTCACGATCCGTGCAACAATGTCCACGGGATCCGGCAAAAGTGGGCAAGCTATATTCCAAGAGATCCGATTGGTCAGTGCGCGGTCTTTTATACCCACTGAGATCTTATCCTGAAACATAACCTGCTCTGGAGCAGGTTTAGTGATACACGTAGGTTACCAGGGCAACAGACCTGGATAGAAAGAAATCCACTTTTGTCGTATGAAAATCCCAGAAGTTATTCCAGAAATTATTTCACTAAGATCAAATCCAGTTTCGTAGTACAGGCCTCAGGATGTGTTAGCTGGGCATCATTGTTTACTTCATGTACAGTGTTCATCTGTGGTGTACGATGTCACTGATCTACTCTCACAACCAATGAACTTGGCATGCTTACATGAGTGTTTTTGATTATTTCTGCATTGACCCATGCCTACATGTGTTAAATCTCAATTTTATTTGTTGGCAGGTCAAAACACAGAGAAAAAAAATTGGTTTTCAAAAACAAATGCATATGTACCTTTGGGACCTTGAACTACTTGAAGTCAAAAAGTATGACAAAATAAAGTATTTGCTCAAATCTACAGCATGTGTTACTGAGAAAAGTAACAATAACATGTGTTGTTTGTTTTGTAAGAAGCAGTCATGCCACACCTGTCCAGCAGCTGTTTTTTCTGCCCTGCACACCTGTTCTCCATCACCTCATCAGCCCTGTGACCTGCTGCTGCCTCCACAGCTGCACTGTGTCAGCTAATGAGCTTCTCAGCGCAGAGGGAGTGTACACGCTGTGACCATGTTCAATTCCACCCCAGCACCAAACTTTGGTCAGCTAAGAAAAGTACAAAGAGTTTGTACTTCGTGTTAAACCTTTACATTTGTCCATGATGGCCTAACATCCATTAATGGATGTCTTTTTGGTACCACAAGAATGAAGCGTCTATTTACACCTTTAGCTTATTCACTTCATTTATCAACATTTGGACAGATGAGCATATTCTTTGAATGTTAGACACTATTCAGAAAATAAAACATTTCACAAACTTGAGTTTCACGGACAATAGAGACTTTTGCCGCTCCTTTGAGAGATGTTGTAAACAGACCAGAAAACTCTGACAGCACTCTTTAGAAGTGAGACCAGACTAGTAAAAGTTAAGATCCCAGTGATAAGGAGGAGGACAACTGGTACGATGGACTGGGCAGAATTCTCAAGAATAAACCAGTGCTGCTAAGCTGAGCAGCAGTGAGTAGTGTTGGCTTATTGCCACTTTGGTACAAACTTCTTCAGCGACTAAAAGAGTGTAAGGAGTCAAGAAGCTATTTGTCTCACTTACTAGGCTCATTGCATTTTCACAGCAAACCACTTCAGGGTTTGATTGGAGGCAGGTCATGACCACCTCTTAAAGCAATCTGAACTTTCTTATTTTGTAATTGCTGCATTCATATATTTCCAAATGTCTGGAACCACACAGGGAAAGGTCTCCTCTTTTGAAGCTTATTTTGCAGTAAAATATAAAACTTTAGCAAAGATGTGAAAATGCCAGTGAGACATGGTGTTGAGTTATGCGTCCGTTCATCAAGGAATGTGTACAACACTCCTGCACAAGTGGTGGTTCCAGGAAGTGGAGAAAATCCCTAAAATACTGAGAGCAATTCGGCTTCAAATTCGTATAATGACAGAAGGCGGAGCCAAGTAATCCATAGTATATACAGTCTATGGTCATAACCAATCACAGAACATAAAATTTTCTTCCCTGGTTGTGATGTTGACATGTAGTTATTGTAAAACTGGTTTCTGCTCAAGTCCTCTTTTTTCTGTACGGCTCCATTTTTAAAAGTTATTAAGGGGGTTCATGTTTTCTATGATTGACACCTGATACAGCCTATGGGCATTCAGGGATTGCATAGCTCTCCAGGGGGATACGCTGTGTGAGCCGAGCGTCAACACAGTGACTCTCGGCGAGTTATTTGGCTTCAAATCCGTATACAGGCAGTAGGTGGAATCAAGTTGTCCATAGTATACAGTCTATCGTTTTTACTTTCAATCGAATTGGCTGAATTAATGTTTAAACAATCGATATATTGATCCAGCTCAATTATTCGTTATACCCCTACCGTTTTGCTGAGTCAGCCTCTACACCTTAGATGTCCACACATTGATTAATATTACAACTTTTTTTTGTCTTAAACTGACGACATTTCATCCGTAGGTTGTTATATGCATAAATTGACAGTGTCCCTAAAATCCAAACAGCTCTGTTATCGGCTCCTCTCGCTTTCGAACCTCTAAATCTGACACTTGATGAAATTATTACTATGATTTCTTTTCCTTCAAGAACTTCATACTTGCTGTTTTCAATAGCAATTACAGGGAATGACAAATTTTATTAGTCATGTGCAGTTGTACTTTCTTTCTCATCCGGCTTCAACAGTCTGTAAGTAGTGAATAGACTTAATTTAACCTGTACTAACCTTACATATGACAGTTGTATTCTTGAAATTATGAGGGGTCATTTGCATTACGGTTTCACTGTTACTCAAGGCTGCAGAAAAACATTTCTCTTTTGACCCAAAAAGCCTTGAGTAAAGTTAATAGTGTGGTATTTTTCTGCTTTGTTTAGGGCACATTATTCAGATAGTAAGATGTACAGTATGTGTTTAGAGAAAGGAAAACCTTTGCTTGTTACAGACACAGTGCTGGGCAGCTGTGCTTTCCAGTATTCATCAGTTAGACAGCAGTGTGTCACACTGAGCTGTTGATAGCATAAAAGACTGGGAGATGGCGTGTTCCCCTCTTTGCCCCCATCCCCTGTCTCTTTACATCTTCATACTGTATTGTGTGGCCATTCTTGGGTTGCCAGGAGACAAAAACACATTCACCAACGCCTCCTCTACCTCAGAGAGCTTTAGTTAGCCCTCTTTAAAATGCACTGCACCCTTGAAAATGTACAGATGCTACCTGGGTGGGCTTTGTGTAAGAATGCAAATGTCCCAGTCTGTTGACTCTTTTCTGCTTGCCGTAGCTGCATGGTTCTACTTTGGCATTTGTATTGTGGATACACCTTTTTATATGTTGCAGTGAATTACACCGAGGTAGCAAAAAGTAAGACTTGTACTCCTTTGCACAGTCTACCAAGGCACCACCCTCACAAAAACCCCACTGAGTATTTTCAGAAGCTGTGTCTCCCACTTAAGCTGTGATTTGTGTGCGACGGGCCTGGTCAGGACCTAACAGTCCAGAAAATGATCAGCTTAAATATGAAACATAGCTGTGGATTCCTGCTCAAGCCCTGCACCAGCCTGAGACACGGAAGCATGAATACTTTCAGCTGCACGCTGTCTATAACACTCACACACACACACACACACACACAGATGTTTTTCTCTAAAAACTCAGTTTTCCGTTGCAATTTTTTTTTGTGCCTTTTAATCACAGATTGCTGGGCATCATTGTAGGAGAAACTGGATGTAGTCCCTGGAGAAGGACTTGATGGCGGCCAACACATCTGGCATCACCCTGCTCATTGTCGGCTGGGAGACCCCAGCTCTGTCTCCAATCTCCCTCTGAAAGGTCCCAGTAGCCAAAAACCCTATGGTGGCGACCACCTGAACCGGCACTGGCAAGGCGTTTGACTGCCTAGTGTCCCTCTGTAACCGGGCTTCTGAATTGTGGCATAAATCAAGGAGGACTTGCCTTGGAAGCCGAAAGCGACAGGTGAGCCACTCATCACTCTCCATGAGGAGATCTCTGCAGTCCCTGAAGACCTGCTCCCGTCTCACCTGTGCGTACTCTTCTAGTAGAAGCAAATCTGCCGAGATCTGACAACTGTCAAAGCTCTTGTTTAAATAGGGGAGAGAATTAACATCTGACCAATCACAATTCTTACCACAAATTGATGCGTCACACCAATCAAAACGCACAAACTTGGACTCGTTTATTTAGAGTATTTCATGCTTTTATGCGATCTTATATGCAGAAATTTTTTTCGTTTTTTGTTTACCTACTTCTCTTTGAAACTCTCTGGAATTTATTTTTTGCCTGGTGCGTCGGAGGATGACGCAGCAGATGTGAGGGACAAAGAAGAGAAAAAAAGAGAGCCTCTTTGTTTGATAGAGGTTTGACACGCAAATGTCACACAATCAAAGTTTGTTTTTTTTGCAAGTTGGCCAGAGTGCGGGAGCTATGGCTGCCGTGAAAACCAGACCAGTGGAATTTTTTTTTTCATTATACGTAAAAAATAGCCAAATATGATAATGACAAAAATGATCAGTATGACTACTGAATATCTGGCCGGATGCTCTTGCTTATTGTTTTCACCGCAAATCCACACTGACTCTCCTAAATCCATCCTGAGGAGCAAAGTTGCACCAAAACTAAAAGGTACTTGAGCAACACTCAGAGTCCCTCTGTGAGTGTTTATTTTGTTACAAAGTACGAATATAATGAGGCAGAACGATTAAAAATAACTCACACTGTACCGGTGGGTGTACTCCAAATGCACATGATCTTTTCTTCATTTCAGCTTTTATAACTTCCACTTTCTGTCTTTTTAAAATATCTTCCACTGCAGTTATGTGGATGACTGTCGTAAAAGCAATAACACTTTAAAATGAATAAAACTCTGGGCACAAATTGTAGGTACACTTTGCAACAGTGAGGAAATATTGACTCACATTAAAAGTAAAAACGACATTTTTCTGACTGTATAATGGTTTTCCAGTATCACCAGTGTAGCTCTCATTACATGTTATAAACTCGTAGTGCAAAGTTTTTTTATTAATGACACATGTCATCGATTCCTCCTAAATTCATCACATCAGTAAATAAAACAGACAATGACAGACATTACAGAAACAGGTTCTGTTTCAATCATGAGGTTCAAGCACCAAAACTGAAACATGCCACTGAAATGATAATCTCACCTGTCTGATCAGAGACAATCTGATCAGACGGATCAGATTTTAGGTTGAGGATTAAAATCTGAGCTGATCATCTCACCCTGATCACTCTGTCAGCTAACACTAAACCCTAAAACAGCATCACAGCTGAAGTTCACCAACAGTTTATACTCACTACGAAAATAATAAACAGGACGTTGATGAGGAAGTCTAGCCATTACCAGGACTTTATTGCTCACACGCGTGTACAGCCAGCCAGATCACAACAACAACTGTTTTAAGGCAGCCTAGAGTGACCCCCAGGGCCACAAGACTCAAAGGACATAAGCAGTTCAACAGCCACTTGCAATATGATCATTTTGTGAAGCGTTTTGATATGACATCTTATTACCAAGCATGCAACAGAATACTCAGCTCCACTGACAGCAAACCAGTTAGAGGAGGCAGTCAAGGTCTTACCTCCCTTTGAGGAGCCGATTTGGGTTGTGAGTGCAGAGACTGCAACTACAGTAATGTGTCCTTTACCAGACAGTGGAAGGCTGGGACTGGTCCCCTGTTTTCGATGGCAGCATTGGTGGATCCCAGATACCAAGACAAGGCATGTCCATTCAAGAGAGTACCATTGGAATCCTGTGATAGGAACATTTTGCTTTATAATTAATCAAATATTATGATTCATAACATAAACAACAACAACAGGTAAACAGTTTAGCGCTGCTAAACATTTATTCAAGATTTCTCGCAAAAGTGGGTACTTCCTCAGATCCTGCCTACCCCACCTTTAAAGTATCTATAATGAAATTGCCTGGGTTCTATAAATGTAATAAGGGACAGAGAGGCATCTGACCTAGAGGAGATTGTGGGTAATTAATACATGTAAATTTTATATCCATAATATTTGCTCTTCAGTTAAAAGACTGAGCGCTTTAGTGATACATTGTTTACATAACTGTACGCACAGGTGAAGAGAGGAACACAAGAGAGACGTGGAGACAATGAAATGCACCGGAAAAACTATGGCCCCTAACCTGATATCAGGCCTATATAACCCTTAGTATAAACCCCAGCAGTGTTAAATTTAAGGTAAGATAGAAACAAAATAAAGGTTGATAAACACTGATCTGGGTAACTACAAGTATCTGATCAGCACAAGCAGAAACACACAAAAAAATCAAATCAAAAAGCCAATGAGGAGGACATCCCTTTAATACTGTTTACTATCCTCACCTACAAGGACCGCGATGGCGAGGAGAGCCTCTTTGAACACACCAACCATCTGATCTAACTGCAGGCATCTCCTCCTGTCATCTCCAAAGTCATCTCTGGGCTCATTTACACTTCTTAAGAAAGCTTCCCTGCCTTAAGGGGGTCCTGCATCCCTTGTGTATGTGCGTATCGGCATGCCTTTAGGAGAACAACAACAGGAAGTTATGTCCCTGTGCCTGTGAGCTTCATTTTACTAGCGGGAAAACGCAATGATGGTCCATTTAACAGTTCTTACAAGTCTACCACTGCATGCTGTTTATTTAAGGCCTACATTACATACTAGTTAATACTGAAGCTGGAAACATGTGAGGATCCTGCTGTTAGTGTAACCCATCAGAACTGAGGCAGCAGGAATACACACACACACACACACACACACACACACACAGAGCGGCATTCCTATGTTTGAATAACAGAGGACTGAAATAGATCTTCAGGTACTGTGTAACTAATTGTAAAGACAACAGGGTTGTCCTCTTTCAGCGCTAATCTGCATCTGAGGATCTCTTTATCCATGACAGACCGTCTCAGAGGGGCGGCTTACGAAAAAGTGAGAGAGGAATCGTCAAGAGAAAGAGGAGGAGGAGGAAGGAGTGAAAGGAGGTAAACAAGGACTGTCATCAGACAGCTCCTGAATTCTTTGTCACTTTGAGGGAGAGAAAACAGCTCCGGCAGAGGGAGAGAAAAGGGAGAAAGGATGGAGGTGTGTGTTTATGTCAGCATCTCTGCATTAGGAGTGTGTGTGTCTGTGTATCAGCCAGTCTGAATGTTTCTTTGTGCTGGTGATTTAAAAAGATGGTAGGTATTGTGGGGAGCCGTGGGAGGTTACTAGGAGAAATGCATCATGGGAGGTAAGGTCAAATAGAGTTCAATGTTGAGTGAGTTGACCCAGAAGCATTGTTAGGATAACAAACACACATATACACAACAACAGGATAATAGCTGAGTCCAAAATTTTGTATCCTGAGGGCATATGCCTTGGGTGCCTTGTCTAAAACCCCTTAAACACACACACACACACACACACACACACACACACACACACACACACACACACACACACACACACACACACACACCTTCATATACAGTTGATATGCATTTCTCATCTGAATGTGGGTTACTCATTTGTTTGCCAGCGAGGAGATAAAGCAGAGGAACAGAGATCACCTGACACTATAAATCCATTTACACGAGAGAGAGAGTGTGGCTGTTTTCAAATTGGCCAACTGCATACTCCTGCCGACCGCAGTAGGCAGTAGATACCACATACTGAGTACTGTGTTTGATAGTAGTATGCAGTATGACTGCAAGTCGGCCGTTATTTTGTAGTATGCTTTGGCCAGTTTAGCTGGTTTCCCGTAAGGAAAAGTAAGTCGTACCCTGGTAAATTGCAACAGCACTATAGTGATGCCCATTCATTTACACACCGAAAAAATCTTTTATGTGTATTAATTTCATTTTTGGGGAATTTTTTTTTAGCCCAATACCAGCCATCAAAACGTGTTCTATCTTTGCAATGACTTGTCGATCTGGATTTTGCCTCTTGTGTTCTTTTTGCCTTTGGGAGTTTTTCAGTTGGACATTTAATTAAGTTTTTGTTGCCTTTCATTTAGTTCTTTTAATTAATTCAAGGGCATTTTTTATCACCTATACGCTGATGACATCCAGCTTTATGTGTCATTTAGGCCTGATGATACAGACAAATTAATTGTTTTGCTCGATTGTCTGACCGCCATTAAGGACTGGCTGGCTCATAACTTCCTGCAGCCAAACCCTGACAAGACTGAGGTCCTCATTGTTGGGTCAGACACCACAGCTCACAAGGTCGCTTAGAGTATTGGTTCCCTTTCTCCTGCTGTCCAGTCTTAGCTTTAAAAAAATCAGGCTTGTTTGATCCATCCTTTACGCACAGGTGGTTCCGATTCCAATCCCATTACGCACGCATTAAATATACTTGATGTGAGTGTCTTTATTTGTGGAGAAGAATGTTTGTCTTAGCCGTGGGTCCAACCTCAGAGACACCAAACCCCTCAATACTTCTTTGGGGGAGTGTGGAGAACGCCACGTCCTCGGCAGGGCTCAGCGCCACACTCGATGAGAGGCCACCTCCGGTCGTCACCGTCTTGTGACAGTGTTGAGATAGTTTTTGCTTAGCCCGTCATCTGACATAACTGAACCGCTTTTTGCATTGTGCAGCGGTTCTCTGCCCGTCCAGGCAAACCTGGTTCATGGCAGTACTTATCTCCTCCCAGGATGCTTTGGCATCATCGGCCCATGGTGGTCTGTTTGCATGCCCATAAATCCGGTCATTGCGAGACTGCACCTCCCGGACCAGAACATCAATCTCCTCCTGTTAAAAGTTTGGCTGTCGCGCATTGTTGTCTTCTGCCATTTGTCTGACTGCTCCACGAAAATGGCAATAAACCTCACCGAGAGGAGCTGATGTGATTGGCGCAAATTGGACTCTCCTCCTTCTCTAGTACTTGCGCCGCTGGGAGGAGCTGAGTAAGGGAGGGGGGATACTTGCGCCAGGCTGCGCTGCTCACCAAAATATCAAATCATGCTTGGGCACGCCCTGGAGTGCTGATGGATTTGAAACCTGTACTCAGGCCAAAGACGATTTATTCATGTGGTGGAGCGGAAGACAAGGAGCTCTCCAAAACGACACCAGCTTACAAAAGTCTTTTTTGGCTGCCAGACTTGAAGTTATCAAAGGCCTTGACCTTCACCGGGGCATGTCAACATACTGATTTGACTTAACAAAACTCAGACAAGTAGGTGTTGAATGATGTCTGTTAAGCATGAGCTGTTGTAGTTGATAGTCATGAGTTATCCTCCCATAGGTCTGTTATTGTTTTTTTTTTTTTGACTGATAATGGTTTGATTTGTGTTTTTCCTTGTTTAAAAGTCACAAGTTTTATTCAGTGATTTAAGGCCATGTTCATAAAGCACATCCCAAAGTTTTAAAGCTTCAGTTGTTATTTAAGAACATGATGTTGTTTTATTTAGCAGTCAAAAATGCTACACACAATATGATTTTGAATCTGTGTAGTGCTGTTAAATAAACTGTGATAAATTTTCACTGGTTTTGTAGTGTTTGTTTACTTTTGACTCAACCATTAGTCTGAATTCCTTTTAATTTCCTTTAAGTTCCTTAAACATTGCTATTGTACAGAAATGATCTACTTTACAAATGGACGTCACTGAGTGTAATAGCACACCTTACAGTTCAGGCAGACCGTAAAGCCAAGTCAAGAGAAAGCTGTGATTTCACATCGGGTTCTGGGAATGACATGAATGTAGGCAGACTTAAAATAACACAATAAAAAAAGATTATAAATCCTGGAGAGGTGACAATATTTTATTCAGAGCAAAAATTTTTGTTTCATTTTGGTGATTTGTCTGGGTTTTTAAAGTTTTTGATAGTTTTCAGTATCTAGGTCTCCAAAATGATACATTAGCTATCTGCATTTGGAAGTAAAGTGGTATGGAAGACAAAATATCCACACTCATATTTTCAGCCAGAGGCTACTGCCAGCACACAAGAGAGAGCGTGGCTGTGACTGATCAACATAAAGACAGAGAGAAGAAAGAGCTCCAGTAAACAGAGCAGCTAAACTAAAAAATACGTTTTTTGTTTTTTTTAACTTCTAAATACATCCACATTTTTGCACAAACATGTAGGAAGTTGATCTCCTTGCCAGCTGTGTGTGTCTCTGCCCTCTGCAACAGCCAACTACTCCATCAGTGCAATTACAGGCACCTAAAAGGTCAATTTATCGCCTGTGTCTGGCTGAAACTGGACTTGAAAAATCATGTAAACACATCAGTCTGACTGATGTGCATAAAGTGGTTGGGGATTGATTTCCTCTGTCATGTATATCGCTCAAACAGACTGAAACTTAGACCTAGACTTTTTGTTTGTTGTTCAGTATGCAGCAGGCGTATACAGAATGAAATTTCATTTACATAGGCTTTAAGTTTTACAGATTGTAGTATATTTGTGTGTGTGTGTGTATACATATACATACACACACACACACACGCACACACATATATATATATATATATATACACACACAACATTTTTAATAGAAGTAATCAAAGGGTTGCTGTGGATTAATTTTGATTATTTACTCTTAAATTTCATTCGTTTCTAATCTATATTAATTGTTTCATTTTGCATAGGCAAAGAGGTTTAAGAGAGAAGGGAATATATATGCACTGAACATAGACACCCATCCTTCAAGTTAATGTGGTATTTTAAGCTGGAAGTGCTTCGGTGAAACTCTCTCCTGCAGAGTGTGTGCAATGCATAATGTCAGTCCACTGTTTCATTTTTGTACTAGAATTTCCCATGGAATACGCTAACGTGCTGTTTAGCGTATTCCATATTGACAGTGCTCGAGACTGTGACCAAAATTGCATACAAGACCTTTATTTCAGTGTGCGCGAGTTAGAATTTTATCTGGTTGTGTTCGTCCAAGTGCATATGTTTAATGCTCACTCTAACACAGGCCCTGTATGAGAACAAGAGAGAGTGCAGACTGACTAAGCCAGTGAAAAAGAGGGCAACTTTCAACCACAGTGTCTGAGGATGGAGCGCATGTGCGCTTCATGACAACAAGTGTTTCACAATTTTTACAAATGAGGCGGTCTATCACTGATGATTTTAAAAAAAAATAAAAAATGAGGAGAGACAGGAGGCGGCTGGTGGTGAGGGCAGGGGCGTCACTAGACCTAATACTGTACTGGGGCAGGTTTTTTGTTTTCCAAAAATTTTTTTTTTGTTTTTTCCTCATATGGGAGGTTTTGTATTTCTGCAATCGATATTCAAATCAAATGACTCAAAAAAAAAAACAAAAAAAAAATGATTGGGACATCATTCATTCATAGTCAACTCACCTCCGCTCTTGCTCATCAACTTTCATCTCTCCCTCACCTCTTCCAGCACTTTGTTGTTCCACTTTGTTTGGACAGACATGAAAATATATATATAAAAACTGTTTTTCTTCTTGAAGATAGGCCATTTGAGAACCACTGCACCATCTATAGGCTATATCTGTCAACTAACACAAGCTTACTCAAAATTATCATTGATGCAGAGGTCCAGAGCAGAACCAGCAGAATGTTTCATGCTGATGAAACTCACTGGAAATTCCCCCCACAGCTCGTACAGCAAATTAATATGGTTGTCTTGATACAAGGAATAACGTTAGCTAACTTAGCATTAATTTAAGACAGACTTATGTTGCCTAGCTAGCTAGGACTTCACTTACCTCTCTCATTCCTCGCTGCTTCATCCCTGCTGCGGGCGAATAACTTTCTGATATCCATCTAGGAGTTACAGATCGAGTCAAATCAAAATCAAAATAATATATTCAACAAGTTGTTGTCGGCTAACGTTACCTACCTCACGCAGTGATTCTCTCTCTCTCTCTCTCTCTCTCTCTCTCTCGACTTCGAGATGACACGGAAGTAGTATCAACCGAAGTCGCAACACGTGAATAAATTACCATATTAATTAGCCATGTGCGCATTGTTTATGTGGAGTGAATACAGTACCACCGAATTACCATACTAAATAGTATGTGCGCTGTAGTCGATGCTATGTAGACTTAAAACTCTGAAGGGATTTTTTTTTATTGGTGAAATTTTTACTGGGACACTGCAGATCATCCCGGGAAGCGGGAACAACATTAATAGACGATCATTTTCAGCCGTGTTAAACAACCAGATGAACAGATGCGTCCATTTTTGTAGTCATCTCTCAGTGAGAGCCAACACTCTTGACGGCGCTAGCAACACAAAAGAACTACAACAGTAGTTTGACTTCCTGTCAGCCAGGACCGCGGCTGCGCATTTCTACCCTTCAAGCCAGGAGCGCGGTCATTTTGTGATATTTTGTAGTTTTTTAATCATTTCTGGAGTCGTGGCGAATTAAATCACCACACGCGTCTCCCTCTGATAGGCTAATAAAGCGCGCGGATTCATGCTCGGATCTTGCTACGTGCTTCGTGAGGAAAGTAAACAGTGACGGAGGCAGAGATCAACTTTGGAGGAGAAACATCAAGCAGGGTGAACAACATCTTCATATGGAGTGCTTTGGTTCACACTATCGGCGATTTCTGTGGGTGTTGCATGACTTTGGGTGAGTACAGACATGAACACACTGTCAGCCACGTATTTATTTATTCATTGTTCGAGTTTTAAGCGCTGGTCTTGTACTAGCACTATACTAGGGGAGCTGCATTTGTGTTGAATGGACACTTCATTATGCTCTACTCCAGGCGCAAAGGAGACACTGTAGAGACATTTATAATGTAGTATTTTTTTAATGTAGTCAGTGACCAAGCTGTCTTTGACTACTTTAAACTTGGAATGTAAACATAGTCTGTATATAGAATGGACAGCGTCTGCCTCAATGCTTGGTGAAGCCACCCTCTGGTGATGGTCTGCAGTATAGGTCATAAATCCTGCCTCCTCCAGCAATCCCTATAGAGCTGTGGATGAACTTTAGAAATTTATTTCACAGAATATTCATTTTTTTCTCCCCCCTAGTTGTGATGTTGACATGTAGTTACTGTAAGACTGGTTTGTGCTCAAGTCCTCTTTTTTCTGTACAGCTTCATTTTTAAAAGTTATTAGGGGGTTCATGTTTTCTATGACTGACACCTGATACAGCCTATTGGCGTTCAAGGATTGCGTAGCTCACCCGGGGGATACACTGTCTGAGTCGAGCGTCATCACAGCAACTCTCAGCGATTCTCTCGCCGAATGCGTACAATGCTACTGCGCAATGTTGGTTTCAGGAAGTGAAGCAAAAAACCCGGAAATACCAGTCTATGGCTGTGTAAAATATTTTTGCTTTAAACTTGCAACCTCTGAAATTCTCTCCCGAAACCTGCCTCAAAAGCTCAGGTTCCAGAAACAGCCAGCTAAGCAGACACTGAACTTTTTCAGCAAGATAACAATTATCTTTGTGGGTTTAATCAAGGCCAACAACAACTCCAACTTAGTCCCACATGAACATGCAACTGTGTGTAGTTTCATATGTGTGTGTGAGTGCGTAATGAGAAACAGTAAAGTAATGTTCCTCAGCTCACAGCTGCTAAGTGACAACAAAAGGCCTGTCACTGTGATTAATGATGAGGGAAGTGTCCCTGCGTGCTTCCTGTGTGCACTGTAGCTGCAGCTCTGAATGGGGTACCATGCACATGCAGCCAGGCGTGCACATGCATCTCTCTTGGTCTCTTTCTGTCTTTTTCCACAACTTCCTACCTCCACTTACCTTCAACCTTGCACACTATTACCGGCTTTTCCTCGGTCCTGCAGGGTCTGACCTCCAAGCATGATGTTTTTAGGGCTCAGGAGAGAAAAGGAGTGGAGGGGTAAAGGAGGAAGACAGGATGCTATGACTGGAAAGAGACAAAGGTCCACTGATAACTAACTGCCACAAAATGAAATATTTACCAATGTGCTTTGCAGGGCTTTGACTTTTAGCCCTTAAGTTGTTTTTCTGCTTCCCTCATGTCAGCGAGAGCAGGCTGCACTTCTGTTTTCTTGTTTTTGAGGTGAGAGTGTCAGGGGGGTTCAGGGAGGGTGAGAGTCTATTGATCAACATTTCTGATTCTCCCTTTAGGGTGCAAGCATCAAACCCAGCTGGGGCAAAATCACATCATCCATGGGTGCTAAATTGACGGCCCAACTCGAGGGAAAAATCTATGCTTCAAGATTTATTCCAAGGATTGGGAAGCACTAGAAAGCAGCGCACCACAGGCGGCCAGGTAGAATAAAAAAGAAAGGAATCCAAGTTTATATTTCCAGGCCTTTTCAAACTGTGCATTCTCAGTTACCTATGATGTATGAAACACAAATTCATCCAAAATTTTAAGTTCAGTATTTGAGTAACTGGATGGATCTCAAACTCTAGGGATGGGACAAAATATTTTAAAAAGTAATATACTGTCATCCTGACTTGTTGCAACGGCAGAGCCAGAGGTGGCCATGCCCAGCACTGGAATCTGATTGGTCACCGCAGGAGCCACCCTGAAATTCTGATGAACTGTGCCTTGTGAATGGCAGCGCTTGTGTTAAAATCAACTATTGGAGCTGGCTTAAACAGACTGCTAGTTATTAATTTGTTGGTAATTTGACAAGTGACAATTTACACCTACAGTCCTTGCCTCAGGTTTACAATTATCACGAAAATATAGAGGCCTTAACACCTTTTGGGTGCCAGTCTTAACTCAGCTCACCACTGTGTTAATTTGTCCGACCGTGTCTTTACTTCATCACTGCCTATTGTGTGATGTAAAAGAACATTCAAGACAATCAATTGGCCAATAAAGAAAAGCACCAAAATGCAATTAAAGGTAAAGGCTTTATGATAAGCAGATGTTCATAGGTGATAAATGTGACTGGCAAACTTTATCAAGACATAACTTATATGAAAAAGCAAGAAACTGTGACCTTAGGGTTTCCCCAACATGTAATTGATCGTGGCGCACTGCCACAGCTAAGTAAAAGCCGCCACACCTTAAAAATGCTGTTTTTTAAATTTTTTTTACGTAGCTCTACCGCTGACTTAGTATGTATCGGTATATGTGGTGCACATGGGCACTGCACCGTCGGGCGAGTGATCGCTGAGTGTAAGCATAAGCGAGCTGTTATCAGCGATCACACAGCTGATCAGTTATACCCCCCTCTGAGTCACCCACCACACACAGTTCCCCCCACCCTGCCACCACAGATAGATTCCCATCCTGTGGGAAACAGTGGACCTACTTGCTCCAAAGTCAAATAAATATCCATACACCATGGATCTTATTATGGATCTTACACTTGTGTTTTTGCTCTCAGCACGCCAAAAGGCAAACTCAGAAAGTTCTTGGCAGTCCTCAACCAGGAGACAAAGCAGCACAGACGGACAGATAGATAGAAACTGCTAAAGAAACACACGGGGTAGTACTCTTGAATAGAACACGGTGCGGTGATGGTCGGCAGGCATGCTAACAAGGCCGCGGCACCGCTCGACGTCCTCTGGCTCCAAGCTGGAAAAGTGTCCTCTCCCTCAATGCTGAAGACTACCACTGGGGAAGTGAACTGTCTCATATTGTCCCAGATGGACTCATTATCCGAATAATGAATCTCTGCCACATGCACATACACACGTACATATCCTCTCTTCTTACTGTCTCTCTCCCACTTACGCTCCATCTCTCCGTTTGTCTCTCTCATGAGTACATCAAACAAAAGACGAGCTGGAGTGAAAGTACTGTGTGAAAGGAGATGAAGTTTATCCTTCACATGCTGCTGTCCCCCTGATTAAAGGTAACAGATATTTTCTCCACCTGGTTGATCGTAGCTTACTGACTTTGGATGTAGTGACCTTGGTAAACTTTACAGACTCACACTGGGACGACTGGTGAAAAAGAGCGGCTCACATTTAAAATTCAGCCAGGTCCAGCTTCTGCTTCTTTATGCAAATTAGCTAAATGAAAGTCTTTCTTTTTTTTGTCGATTATTACCGAATGTTTTGTTGCCACTGCTCAGTCAGTGTTTGGCCGGCGTTTCACTGCTGGCCGCTGACTTTCTCTTGGCAGAGGCGCCTTTGGACAGCGTGTTCTGAAGATTCAAAGGATGCTCACACACGCTCCTAAACATCCTGTACACACACTCGCATACACACACCCTCAATGGGAGTGAGCCATGCAGGGGGGCAGTGGTACGGCTGCACATAATGGTCGCTGTTGTTTTGATTGTTGACAACTTGGCTGCCATCAAAAACAGAGTTTGTGAGTGTGTTTGTGTGTGTGAGTGATTGGGGTCTAATGTTCATGTGCGTTATTGTGCAGAGCAGGAAAAAAAAGCATGCTGATCAACACAACAGTGCCTCAGTCTTTCTACTGGCCCCTGCAAACACCAGGGACTCTGGGTACAATTAAAAAGAACCAACTGCAATTATTAGCCGCCTCTCCTCCTCCTTCCTTTTCACTGTCGGCCCCCTCCCTCTTTTTCCCTTTTAAAAACAGTAATCTTGGATCTTGGTACCTTCTTAAATAGAAACCCTGTATTCAGGAGAGAAGTGAGAATGGGCGGGGGAGGAACTGAAAATGTAAGACGTGAGATTGACAGCGAACCAGAAAAGCCTGTGTGCATTTCTACAACCTCGTACGTGTAGCAAAAGTTAATCAAGGTAGAGTATGTAAACATGTCTTTTACTGAGAGTAGTTGCAAAAGTATTAAGCACATTTATTTGGAAAAAAATATCTGTTGTATTAAACTGATCCTTCATCTTAAA